TATTATCGGTAGGTGTGTTCGAAAGTGTAAGGGTTGAAAATCCCCGCGGGTGTAAATGTGTAAATCACTTCTCTGATTATGTCAAACCTATTTGTTGCTCCTTAAATGAGGGAGAGAGTGAGCTTTGTGAGTTGGAGTAGAAACAAAGTGAAAAACCCCCTGTAATTAAGTGGTCTCTACCAGGGGTTCAGTAAACAGGTAGCTGGGAGGGAGAGATGGAGAAGATCTAATATCGGAAGCGAAATAGGAACATAATTAAAACTCATCTCACCTTCCACCATCTCCTACATAATAATTTCCCTCAAAACTTAATCCGTTTACCTCCTCATGATGGAAATTTTCAAGGCGAAAAGCCAATATTTATAAACAAGTTTCGATAAAAGTTTTCCGGGAGAGTTTTCAAAGTGCCAGTTTTACTCTGGTCTCTTAATAATTAACAATAAGTAACCGTACTCTCCTTGTCGTTTCTTCGAGGATTCAGTTTCAGCTAATGTTATAAAATTAAGAAAATTGAATTTTCAATATATAGTTTTTATTTATTTTTAGTCATTAGGCACATTTATAATTTGGCCATTTTAATAGCACTCTATCTCAGGAAAAAATATTTTCAAAGTAGCATTTTAAGTTGGAAAAAATTTACTGAATGAGCTTTATTGCTCAAATTGTACTCTTCAACTATTATCACTATTATTTAAGCTTTCTAAATAAGTATTTTAAGTTAGATAAACCATATTTATATCTCTATTGACCAGATTGTAAAATGAAGAATTGGTGATCACATCAATTTTGATGACGTTGGGTTGTGGGATGTGCAGTCATACAGAAAATACAGCGTAGTGCTCAATTCTTTAATTTGCCAACGTTTCGAATGGTTTTCATTCTTTTTCAAGACAACGCTGGAATAAAGGTAGAGCCACTTTTGTCCACTTTTTTTCCGATGTTAGCATTAAAATCGTAGCCGTAATTCGTTTTGAAGTGGTAGTTCAATTTTTTTTAAAAATCGGACGAGACTGGAAGAAGTAAAAGATTTCCAACTAAAACGTGCATCAAATTAAAGCCCTTGACACGTAATTAAAATAGTACCGGCGTGAAAAAAAATTGAAGAACTACCACTTCGAAACGAATTACGGCTACAATTTTAATGCTAACGCCGGAAAAAAGTGGACAAAAATGGCTCTACCTTTATTCCAGCGTTGCCTTGGAAAATAATGAAAATCATTCAAAACGTTGGCAATTAAAGAATTGAGCACTACGCTGTTTTCTGTATAACTACACATCCCACAACCATTAATTTCCTATTAAGGTTTTAAAGTAAGATATCCAATTATAATTGTTTGTTTATATGATAATAAAACAGGCCCTGAAGATGACAGTATAAAACTGTCGAAAGCTCGGCGAAAACCGTAAGGAAGTTTTCTCTGTTTTGACCTCTTCCGAAGATCCTCTGAAAAGACTTCTTGTATCCAGCAGGTCGATAATCTAGTTCATCCTAACTGGATTATTTAATAGATCAATTACGTATATACACTACATAATTGCTAATATAAATAAATATTTGAAATTAATATTTTCTGCCTAGGCTGTGTAAATACATTTACGACTAAAATTAGTCGATACATCATGATCTGTTATAAGGTCTATTATTGACGACACTGACGAGGATATTTTTATAAATTTTCGTGTTGAAGTTCTTGTACTTGGCTGCCATTATGTTGGTTTACCCCTCCGATCCATGATAGATCGAGTTCGTTGGGGTTGGTAGTCGGAGGCGGCGATAATGAAGGTCTTGACAAGACAAAGGTCGACTCCGTGTATTGACTGGGCTGAAAAACAGAGGAGCCGGGCCTTGTGAAGGGGTGGCCCCCGGGGGCTCGAATTATGCAGGCAAAAGGGTAAATAGGTCCTGGTTACCATGGGGAAAGGCAACTCAATCTAGCGGCAGGCTCAATTGCTCTCTTTGCCCTAAGCCATAGCCGTGAGGCACTCCCAACCGCTAATGACGTACCTGGATACTCATTACAGGTCCCATTGTTATACCACGCGGGTAGGTTCTCCACCCTAAATTCTTTTTAGAATCGATTATGCTTTTGTCGTTGTTCATCATCGTGAAAATACCACGTACCAGTTGCTTTCGACAACTGATGACATTTCACACCAAATATTAGATATTATAATTTTTCTATATATATTGGGTTCTTTTATGCTTCATTCAACTTGTAGCTTTTTATTTCAGTTTATTTTTTTGTTAGAAAGACAAAATTCTGGCTTTAAAAAGCTCTTCAAAATACATACAAGCAATCATACCTGATAATCCTCATACAAAGCTAGTTAACAATGCTATTGCTTTAATAACTATTAGTTAATAATTGATGATTTAATTCTTAACAACATTATGTGTTAATTTAGTAAATAAAATACTTTTTCATTCTACAAATGTATCATTTTATCATTATTGAGTTTCTAAAGTTGTTAGGCATTTTTACTAACTCTATTGTTCAGGTACTTAATTAGTTGATGTAAAAACTGTTTTACCGAGTTTTTGTACAGGTGAAATTATTGACAATATAAAAGTACTAGGAAATTTTAAATAAATTTTGTTATGGTGTAGGTAATGAATTTAATATATTGTTATCAAATTAACTTTTATAGCACGGTGGCCATTAAAAGTCTATTTCCCTCAATTTAAATGAAGAATTTATTTATGTTTTAAGTTTTTAAATGCCTATTTCACTCAAATCTTACTGCCACACTTTTCAGAACTTTACAGTATGCATTGTATTATATATGTATATTTCATATACCATACATATATATATATAGAATGAGCAGGAAAATATCAAAGGAAATAAACCAGTGTGATAGGAGTGTTGCCACTTGCATTATATCGAAATTATCCAGTTGGTGAATGTATTTATTAACGTAAATGGTTAAGTTATGGGTACGGTCTGTGTTGAAACCGAGTACTGATTTTTACAACTTTACTTTATTTAATATCTGCCGCACTGATTAGGTTAACATAGGATAGCGAATGTGTGATTTTTACCGGGTGTTAATGTATTTACTTGCGCGAATGAGCAGAGGGCGTCAAAGTGAAAAATGCCTTGCCGGTACATAATTTAAGCGTATTTGAAGGGGTGAGGTCTCAGCAATATTTCGAGACCTTCGAGTCCCGCCAAGCTTAGATTAGGCAATCTTTATAATAGTATAAATGTGTAAAAATGACGTATGGCATTTTAATCAAGTGTGGAAGGGCTAAATATTAAAGATTAGATAATAATACGAGATACATAAAACATGAGAATTGTGAACTAGCCTTAGCCGTCCGGGGAAAAATAGAAACTAAAAATATATATCCCAACCGCTCTCATCAATAGAATAAACGAATTTGAATTTTTAAAGCAGCTGAAATCAAAGTTTTGTTTGAGCTTTGCCGAGTTATTTCAGGAGAGGAAAAACAATTCTTTACATTGCCCGAAGGGTTGTTTCGATGTATTACTTTCTGATTCTTCTTGTTTTACACCCAAAGGTTTCTCCACCGTGGGCAATAAATATTTATCCTCATGTGAACCCAAGCCCACCAAAGATATAATGCCAACCAAATTTCTGCCTATTAAACAATTAAGAATGCAGGCGGCGTGAAATATTAAAGTTGGAAAGATCAGGATACCTTGAGATATTTGTTATACTAATAATACATAGCATGGTACGTGATATCGTAATCTCATTGAATATGGCAATGCAAGGTTTCGTTTAAAATTGGAAGCCGTTTTTAAAAAAGAAATTGGCGATATTCCTGCGGCATAACAATCAATGGATTGTCCATTAAACCCTTGAGATATGGCGGATGTCTCTCCTTTTGGCCGGATTGAGCTCAAGTTGCAATAAATGATAATCTATCTGGTCAGAATCGTAGAAGAATGGTAGAATAAAATGAAAGCAATGGTATTTTTAAAAATCAGAGAGAATGTGACTATAAAGGTGAATAAAGTGGAGATAGCATAGATCATATATGGTTCGAAAATCAAGAAAAAATACAAGCCAAAAAATCGAAATAAAAGTAAGGATAGAACAAGAAAAAGCCTCCTTTATTATAATTTTTTATTTTCCTCCAATCATCAGAGGTGGAGAGACTTTATTAATATTACAACATAGCTACTAACTAAGCTAATAACTACCATAGACAATACTATGTATATATAAAATATATATATNTATCATAAAGTATATATATATATATATATATATATATACATATATATACACAGAACTATACAACTTGTACATATACACATGTGTGGTGATTAGTGATCGTTAGTCTATGATTATTCGGAAATCATGAGATGCGGTCTGATGTGACGTAGGTTTCAGAAAAACATTTTCTTTATCGTGCGAACGTTTCGAACTTTATTGAGATCATCTTCAGAGCCTGGGATTTACAAACATTGTTTAAATTTAACAAATACATTTAGGATGTGGAAAAGTGAATTTATACAATGCAAAATATATTTTATATTCAAACAAAGTATTTCCTTCTAAAGTAGTGAGTAGATTTGAAAAATGGCAAAAAGGAGGGAAAATTCAAAAGGTGTGGTTGAGGTGGTAAGTTGATGTCCGAGTGGATCGAAGTCACGATAGCTCAAGTGGTAGAGCAGCGGCGTATCAAGCCGAAGGTCGTGGGTTCGAATCCCGCTCGTGCAATTAACTTGTTTTCATCTCAACTAAAAACCTTAATTAATTGTAATGTATTAATTGGTCAACCGGACCACGAAATTAGTGAATTGAATCACGGACTATATTAATGTCACATTACGAAAAACATATTTGAACAATTGATTGTTTTTAGTAATGTGAAAATGTGACTCCGGTACAGCATAAAATCCGTCACTGAACAAGAAAACAACTGGCGTAACTGGAAATATGCCACTTTTCGTGCTACTAACTTTTTCATTTCAACCAAAACCTTACATAAAAATATTAATTAATTGAAATAAGTAATTTGGTCAATCAAACCACTAAATATAATGAAGTTAAAGTTCACGTAATAACATCCTGTTCTAATGGAAAAATAAACCTCCACCTGGTTTGCAAAAATTTTTAAGGGGCTAAGATCTTAACTTCCGTAAGAACCTGTTTTTCATTTAAGAGTTAGATGAGAGAAAAAAATAGAATGTGATATGCCTTTATTTGCGTCTGTTAAAATTAATACATTAATATATTACTGTGGGTACAAGGAATGCGCAAAGACGTTCGCAATAGAACAGTAGGCTGCTTGACAGATAAATGGTGTGTGGATAAAGATATCTGTAGCATTTGGCACTTAATGGTAGTGACCTACATTGATGTCTTGAACAGACGTATTTCTTAGACGCGTAGGTGTCCACAGCTTGGCATTGTATCGGCGGTTTGATTTTCATCTTTCAGATGTATGCAGAATTATGTATCCATTTCCATTAAAACTTCTTATGCCTCGACGTACGGCCTCGAGGAACAGTTCCTCCGTTCAGTAAGTACAGCAACTTTTCTCTGGGGCTGAAGGTGTCCTCGCTGGTTTTCTGGTTTTCTGTCCCTTGAGTGTACTAATAGGCACTTCTTTATTTTAATCTGCTTAAGATGATTCCAAAATAATTTCGACTTTACAAATGAACAGATTGTGATCCGATTGGGGTTGATTTGTACGTCCTCGTCTTATGACGCTCATTGCTTTAAGCAATATACCTGTGGAAACAATAGGAATTTTTAAATGAATCACAACAAAGTCTTCTATTATACATGCTTACGTTCTAAAGAGGATCTGGGCTTAAAACCGTTTACAAATTTTAAAGTTTGTTAATACGAGTCTTCTACTACACAAAAAGGTAAAGAATTATATTAATAAAGTGTACATTTACAAACAGGTAAACCCTTATAAGATGGAAATGCATGGTTCAGACAATGGCAATTTGAGGATAATCATAAAAAATGCCATTTTTCTGTTCTATTGTAACATTTATTACCGTATTGTATAACGTAGTTCCAGATCTAAAAAAAATTAACTTTACAAAGAAGCAAATTTTGCAACCTGGAGTTCTGAGGAGTTAATCTAATAAGCAAGTTGAATTGTTCAACGCGAGCATCAAATAAAACAGAAGATTTGTTTAATACTTTTTAAAAGGATAGTTCCTACTCACAGTAAGTTGTTTTGCAACGATCCGGATTTCGAGCCTTTTAGCTCATCAGCAGGTTGAAGGACTTCTACAACCACGTCTCTCGACATGAATTGCCAAAGTGAACCGCTGATACCTCCGCCAACGCGACGTTCCAATTATNTCTAAATACAAGAGTGTTACATAGTTTCAACAAAGGGAAAGAATTAGATTGGTTTGAGAAATTTGAAATTAAAAAATGTAAAATTGAACAGGTGATAAATGCATTAATAATGTAACAGATTTTGATCTACCTCCCATTTTAAATATGTACATAAATAATATCAAACATCCAAATAATTAATCTGATTATTTTAATTGTTATTATTTTTATAGTAATTTAATAATATTAAGTATTTATTATTCTAATATTTATTTGTGTTATTATTTCCGCGTTTAGCACGTTCAAATTGAGCGCCATTAAAAAAATTAGCTGATAATTGGAACGTCGCGTTGGCGGAGGTATCAGCGGTTCACTTTGGCAATTCTTGTCGAGAGACGTGGTTGTAGAAGTCCTTCAACCTGCTGATGAGCTAAAAGGCTCGAAATCCGGATCGTTGCAAAACAACTTACTGTGAGTAGGAACTATCCTTTTAAAAAGTATTGAACATCACACTCACTCCATCATTTATCATTTCTAGAAGATTTGTTTGTTTGTTCAATAATTAACAAAATAATTTGGCTTTCATTTTAACTTAAAATATTTAAATGTTTTTGGACAATAACATTTGGTTGCAACAGTTTCTCAATGTATAAGCGGTTTTTGTTAACGGTATATACCCATATGCAACGGCGGCATGCTATGCTGGTTTAGACTATTAGTAAAAAGTAGCAGGTAAAATAATGGACATGTTTTTAACCAAATCCTCGAGACCATCTTCATAAAACCTTTTTTTATTATGCTGACCTTAACTTATTATATAATGCTAGCTCTGCATCTGAAAACGGCAAACCTATTGGACAAGTCTTTGTACTTTATTGGTAGGGATAGATGCCAGAAACTGTGGCTGGCATCTCCGGGGAACCGTTCTCGATTCCTTTATCAAGGAAGGACGGAGCGGGAAAGAAAGTTACTGTTTATCTTTCACTTATCTCCTACACACATGGGACAATTCAAGTTTGTTTTTAAATAAAACCCTAAGATTCGCCATTTCGGATCTCCAGGTTGTAAAGGTTGTTGGTTCTTTATAAAGAGATAAAGTGAGTGAAATATTAGTTAGAATTGCTTACGACTTTTTCATTTCCGTCCGTTCGTCTCTACGTGGGCAGGGAGCAGCTTTCATTCTTACATTGGACGGTAGGGCTCCGCATGGAAACCCTTGCTCCCTGCCCACCCCGCTCCTTTAGTTTTTCGGTGTGCTATATAATTTAAAAATGAAAATAATATATTATTGCAATTATAAGAAGTTGCTAAGAAGTTATATAATTGGAATATTGAAAGTTAAAATTTAGTTACAGTACCTGTTTCTGAGATTCGTATCACTAATCTCAGAACTGTGCTCCTCCGTTTCATCAATATTTGCGGATCTGTATGTCGGAAAAGTTATACAATAAGAATACTAAAAGTTAAAATTTGGTAACAGTACCTCAGTCGATTGTCAGTGTTCGGCATATCAGTGCTTTCTTCGTTGCTGTCAGGCCTTTCAATTTCGGTGCTTAAACTGTAAGAGGTAAAAGTTATACAATAAGAATATTAAAAGTTAAAATTTACTTAAAGTACCTAGCTGCTTGGTCGTTGTTTTCTTCTTGGGCTGTAGAGGACCGCTGTTGCTCTAGTATTGCGGTTAATATTGGGCTCCGTTCAGCTCTACTTGGCCTATAACGATCGACTTCAGGACGTGGGTAAATACCTTCTAGAATGTTGGGAGAATCTTCTATGTTTGCCGTTCGATGATACGTAACTCTTTTGGAAGTTCCTGCACGTTGTGCATCTTCTTCTTCATCGGTCGATGCATCGGCTAAGAATGTATCTTCCCTTTCTTGGCGTGAATTGGCGAAACGTCTTGTATCGCGACGTCGCTCTAAGTTTTGTCTAAGGTAAAATTCGGGCAAGTCTGAAGAGAGTCTTTTAATTTCTTGGAATGCTTTGTATGCAGAAAAAGCGCACACCGTTGCTGCCGCCACACCCAAGCCCCACCTCACCACGCGGGGCCACATCTTTGGCTTCTTTCTTATCTAGGCTTAGGCTTATTTCTACCTAACTAGTTATCTATTAACTAATATAACAATAAAAATGATACAAATATAAAAATGAACTATATGTAGAATTTTGTTCAGACTAAGGAAATATTTCAATAAATGTACATACTTAAAATCTCTGCCAGGAATAGACGTAGTAGACAAAATAAGACAAAATAGTTTTACCGTGAATTACAAACGTTTTCACTTGCAGTTAAAACGGAATTGTCTCTATGGAAACGTGTATCCAAAATTTCTTATTATTTGATTACGTATTAATTTATTTTTATTTATTTATTTGTATTTAGTGTTTTCCATCCCTTTTCTTTCACCGTACAATATTAAGTTTTCTATTTTGCATTTTCCTTTTTTAGACGCTTTTATTAGAGGTTTTTCAGATTAGCACGTCATTTGGTTTACGTCGTTGATTCCCTTCCCTCGACTATCTCATTTAAAGATTTAAACTAAAATTCACAAACCACAACGCATTTACATCCAAACGTTCTTCTACTAGTCTTAGTTTTATCCTTCCTTAGATATCTTGGAGCCAAGAGAAGAAATTATAGGGTTTGTTGTACGGTTACGAGCAGTTGTGTTGAAGTGGTTTTTATAAGTTTCTGAATTGTCCGTCCAAATGCATTATTTATAATTCGCAGAGCTTTATTTTATAGCGTCAGTTCGATTTTACTTTTGGCGCCCCTTCACAAATAGGACAAGCGTACATAACATACAGAAGACGAATCAACACATTATTCGATACTTTATTGCCCTGGATTTTTGTCACTAATTATCTATATAAAATGGGAGGATAGTAGTATTATACTATAAGATTTATATTTATAATAAATCTTAAAAATTCCTTAACCTTTTTCATAAGACATCAGTATTTTTATTAAACAGACAATCGACAGACCAGTAAAATAGTTGTGAGTGAGCGAGTGAGATTATTGGTGGATTTAGATTGAAATAAATACGCGTTGGGTGTTGAAATGACCTATCTGTTGACAGCGGTGAAAAGTTAAGTTTGATTATATTCATAATTGCTGAAGTGAAAACTATAAATCAGTAATCATTAAAATGGCAACATTCAGACAATTTTCGATTTCTTTTTAAGGAGATTCGTGTTTATATAAATGTTTGCAAATTTTGCACAATACTTACGAGGGTATAACCTAAATTGAATTCAGCAAGAATGTGAAAAAACAAAAACGGGAGGTATCTTATAAATAAGTATGAAAAAACTAGAGACCTTCCAATCGGTTATTTATCCTTTCATCCAACTAGTATCAATGGTCTTCTTCCTACCTCCTGTTTTAAACAGTACCTCCCATTCATACCATTAGTAGTTTGGGACTACGTTGGACAACGGAATGAAAAGGCAAGTTATGAAATTGGAGGAGAAACAGAAATTCTCCACAGCTTATGGGTAGTTTCTACAGTTGGAATGTTGAAGAAGATAATATTTCAATAATTTGTTCAAACTCTACAGAAAGATGAATATAAATTTTGACATGAAAAATTCTTTCCTGGTATGGGGAGATAAAGGAAAAATAACAAGAACCCTATCAATGTTCGATTTAAAAGAATTTATTATTTACAAAATGAAGATAAAACAATATTATAAATCACAATTTCATCATATAATAACACCCTAAGCGTTAACTATTTTTGATTAAATAAAGATTAACAACAGTTAATATAGTGTTATTCTATAAACTAAGTGTAAAAAAAAGTTTCATGTACACAAGTCATATAACAGAACAAGGTTCCTTTAAAAGGAATCTAGGATATATATGTATATATATATTTATTTCAATTAGAATAGCGATAACAATCTAAGACTAAATTTTTTTAAAGAGATAGTTCATAAATAATATAATTTGACTAATAAATAGTTTACATACAATGCATACATAGATTCTATATTATGTATATACAATTTATATTGGTCGTGGTTGACTCGGGTAGTCTTGGGAGATCAGGTAATAAAAGAAACAGAACTGTTCAGAAATGTAAGTAAAATTCAAATATATGTTAATTAGCATTTTAAAATACACAATATATAGGTGCTACGGAAATTTTCAACTATAAGACAAAGATAATTTTTTTTCTGCTAACTTATGAAGAGGCAATACAAAATTGTTCCCTTTAAATTTTACAATATACCCAAAATGTATCACGCGTGATTTAAATCAAGGACAGTAAAATGAAGACCTAAAAGCTTATTTACCCTCTTCGGCCGTTCAGCATCGTAGACTGTACGCGTCTGTCTCCCCGACTGGTCTGCAGACTAGGACGACTTAAGAAATTCTTCACTGAACCGACTCTTCGTTTGTCGAATGTATAAATCCAGTACCAAATGATATCCAGCATAAAAGACACACAATAATGCAGTGGCATCCGGCCTGGTTTTCTAGGACGGAGATGCCTTCCGTACGAGAAGATACTCGGAAAACTGCTGTCCTTCGACACCGCCTCCGTTGCTTCCAGCGACTTTGAAGCCAGCATTCAAAAGCCTTGTGATCGCTTGGACCGAATTCAACTTGCAATAACCGTTCAGAGGGAACCTTATGACCTGCCTTGTATCGGATTGGGTCCAAGCAGCTCCACATCGAGCGTCCATCGCCGCCTGACCAGTTTCGGGAAAAACCTGAAATCAAATTCATACTAATTAACTATTTGTTTTGTTTCTATCTTGAGTCTGTACAAAATAAAATAAAATAGTGTACACACGTAATTACTTGAACGACTGTCAAAAAGTGAATCCGTAGTTATACACTTACTAACAGCCCCCGTATGACATATTCTATATTAATGAATTAAGCATAAAATTCAACCATAGGGATCTGGTAAGATCACGAACATAGGAAATGCTTAGGTCGGTGTGGGTGATGTGATTCCTGACATAGAAGGAGGCATAAACTATTGAACGGAAGTCTTTAGATTGTAGGACCTGGAAGCGATAGAGGTTGGGCTTTTTTGCCGTACGAAGATCTAGTTCATAATAGATTACATGGAATTGCTCGAACGACTGTCAAACATTGGTTCCGCCGTTAGACACCTACTGAGAAGTCCACTTATGGCAGACTATGTATTAATGGATTATGGTGAGAAGATAATCTGGCGTGAAATTTTACTAACGGGATTCGGTAAGATCAAAAACATAGATGTTTAAACAGTGTGGATAGTATGACTCCTGACTTATTTACACGCTATAAGTTGTTCCATCGATAGTCAGCTACTGAGTCAAATAAGAATTTACGATGGATATTCTGAAATAGTTTTCCTACTAGCTGATCAAAACCACCTAAGTCGTCGGTGGAGTTGATAGAAAGTGTAAAAGGGATTCTGTTTTAATGAGTTTGAGAGCATTTATTTAACAATCGGGATATGAAGATCAAGAAAATAGATGTTTGGGTCGGTGTGTATGGTGTGATTATCTTATATAGAAGAAAGTATTAACTATTGTAAGGAAGATATTAGATTGTAAAGTATGGATGCAATAGAGGTTGGCTTTCTTTACTCCTCCCCCCAGGGAAGAGGAGAAAGAGAGAGAGAGAGAGAGAGAGAGAGAGAGAGAGAGAGAGAGAGAGAGAGAGAGGAGTAATTAAAGAAGATAAGTTCGCACCTAAGCTGATAAATTATTAGGGTAGGGGACTTTTGGCTCTAAGGGCCAATTCGGTCTTTTAAAACTTTTAAAATGCCTGAATTGAATGGGTTATTCAAAAAACGAAAATCGTTCTGAACCATACTTTATAATTGTTAAGGGAGAAAGCAAAGTCAATATTGTCTTAGCTATTGGATTGAGCGCATTCATCAAGGATAAATTAGCATTTATTACTTCAAAAGCCGTAATTTTGGTAAGTCTGTCGTCGGGAAGAGTGTCGTGGTTAAATTTGGAAGGTGGAGTTTTTAAGTGTATAAGAATAAAACGCCAATTGATGTCTCTAAGTAGAACTCTAGAGATTTGGGATGCTTATTGCTGTGATCTATATATTTGAAGACAAATTGTAAACAAATTTAAAATTGGAGAAAAGATTTTTTTTATTTAAGACTTTTTAGGTTAGTACTTCACATGGTACAAAGTGAGTAGGTCAAGTCATCATCTTATGCGAAGGCTATGGCATTGTGGTAGCAAATGGAAATAAGATTCATTGGTAATTTCTAGAACACCGGCGTCGATTGTTTATTACTTTTTGTAATACTGTTAACAATAAATAGCTCATTCAACAAATATACTACATCTCAATAATAAAAGGGTTATATATTTTACCTTTCAACGCAATAAGCCTACTTCCTTGCTTTATGTGGAAAAATGAAATAAACATAATTTTTTACAAGGATATTATCTTGGGTACCCTCGGGGTGCCGGTGTTTAAAAAAAAAACAATCCATTAGTAAGCAAATCGGGTTCGAATGCAGGGCCGCTGGATTCGAACCCGGCACCTTTACCTTACAGTGTTGGTGTGCCAACGCCTGAACAACAAATAAAAATCCCTATTTATTTAAAAGGATTATCACATCCACAAATAGAATTTGGACGTAGGAGGAAACTAACCCAAGTCGATGAGGATAAAAAATAATAGCATTTAACATAACACTAATACGCGGTAAAATTTTTTTCTAATTATATTTATTCTAAGTACTCTCTTTAAAAATAAACTCTTTTAAATAACAAAAGAATCTCTACTTATTTAAAAGAATAATCACATCCACAAATAGAATTTGGATGTAGGAGGAACAAATCCAAGTTAACCAAGAGGATAAAAAGTAATAAAATTTTACATAACAACACTAATATGGTGGGAAAATATTGTTCTAATTATATTTTTTCTAAGTACTCTCTTTAAAAATAAACTCTTTTACAGGACTTTTTCTCATATCGTCAACATACATTTCGACAACGAAGTCCGTCACAAAACCCCTCCTGGATTACTTATTTTCAAAAACAGTAAATTGGCCGACGTTGGTAGGTGAGAAAAAGCTGTTCACAGAATACCGTATTTTCTTGGTTGAAAACTCTTGCTGCTCACTAAACAATATCAATGGGGACAACATGAAAATGGAAATCATGTTTTCATCTCTTTGATTTCCCTGAGTAAATCAAATATCGAAAGGGTTAACACTGGACATTTATTTTTTACCCCATCCTACTTTAAAAAATATCTGTGAGCATATTTCATATTTTTGTCGAAAAATTTATTAATTTTAGATTATTTATTTTCAAATAGACTTATGCTCATAGGTTTGAATTTAACCAAAAATTCCGAATACATCTGGGCACCAAAAAGGAATGGGAAAGAAAGGGAAATAACTCCCTCAAAAATGGCACCTTCCTTTGGTACACAGATGGATCTAGAACGCAGGAAGGTACGGGGGCAGGAGTGTTTGGACCCGGAACCAAATACTCAGAACCCATGGGAAAGCACACCAGTATCTTCCAAGCTGAGATTCACGCAATTGAAAGATGTATCCAATTCAATCTAAATAGAGGATACAAAAACAAGAATATAGGCTATCATGTCAGATAGCCAAGCAGCCATCAAAGCACTAAGCTCAAATATCATTAGTTCAAGGATGGTGCTGAACTGCAAAACCAAACTAAACATATTAGGTACGCAGAATAAAGTCAGCCTCTGCTGGGTCCCAGGACACATGGGAGTAGAAGGCAACGAGAAAGCGGACACCCTTGCA